ACGTCATGATTTCATTTGCATAAATATATACTTGACATCTCTTAACTATAACTTTCAATTATGTTTTCTTTATTCTTAACTCTTCTTGTTCTTACTAATGCACACTTTTTTGGAGATGCACCAATTTATATGCCTCAAAACATGCAAGAAATTAAAGCATTAGAAAGTTCTTCTTCAGCAACAATTTTAATGTTATATGCCCCATGGTGTGGTCATTGTAAACACCTTGCACCAGAATTTGCTTCTGCTGCTAAGGAAGTCAATGGAAAAACAATTTTTGCTGCTGTTGATTGTGAAGAACATAGAGATATTTGTGGAAATTATGGGGTTCAAGGTTTTCCAACAGTTAAATTATTTGATGCTCAACAAGGACACCAACGCAGAACACCACGAGATTATAATGGTCCAAGAGAAGCTAGGGCTATTAGTGGTACAATGTATTCAATGATTCCTGATTGGGTTGAAACTATTCCAACAGAATTAAATAAAGACGAAAACAGTGTTATTTTGTTTAGTGACAAACCAAAAAGAACATTATTATATAAAGCACTTGCTATGCATCTTAATGGAGCTTTTAAATTTTATGATTGTAATAAAGACAATGAACAAGTAAAAAAATATGGAGTTGAACAATTCCCAACAATACTTATTCAACATAAAGGAGAAATTAAAAAATATGAAGGTAAAATGGATTTAAATAGTATGTTAGCTTATTTAAGTAATTTAGCTGGTATTAATACAAGTTCAGGAAATGAACAACCAGAGAGACCAAAAGAAGAAGAAGTTCCTTATGTTAATGTTCATGTTTTAAATGATGAAATGTTTAAGAAACAATGTAATGGAAAGGCATGTCTTTTATTAATCTTTGGAGAAGAAGAAAATAATGAATTAATTAACCAAGTTAGTAAAGGACTTGAAGGTAAAATGCATACATTATCATTCACTTGTTCTGAACAAAATGATCTCTGTAATAAATTAAATGTTTTCTTTGATACACCAACTGCTCTTATTTATATCCCACAACGAGGAAGATTAATTCGATTTGTTGGAGGATTTGATGCCGAAGAAGTAATTTCATTTGCTAAAAACAGTTTGATTGGAAGGGTAGGAAAAATTGAAACATTAAAAGATTTTCCTTCTTTTAAAGACAGAGTAAAAGAACCATATGTTGCTCCAAAATATGAAGAAGAAGAACTTTAAATAATAACTTTTTCAAGAACAAAAATTAATAACAAATTTATTTTATTTGATTTTACAATTCTTGTTATTATATGTTGATATTTATTTAAAATACTCTTTCTTTTAATTTTTGTTTTTATTAACAATATATTTTATATTAAATAAAGTTTAATGAAAAAAAAGTATTAAAAAGTTGTAATAAACCTAATTAATAAATGTTTAACAAAATTATATTATTATTTTGGTATTATTTTATTGAAACTCAAAATAAATTTGTGTTTGTTAATAACATGAAAATTATTAAAAATAATACTCAAAAGAAAATATCTTTTCTCTTTAAATTATTATAAAAAATTACTATAATCTAATTTTTTTTTTTAAATTTAAATTAAAAAATATGGAATTTTTAATAAGAAAAAGTAATTGTTATATGGCAATAATGAGTTTTAAAACAAATAAATATATATTTTGATGTCTAATATAGTTTATATGATATTAAAAAATTTAAGTATAATAAATTATTTAATTTAATATTATGAAGTTTTTAATTTCATTTTATTAAAAAGTAAGTTGACAACTTCTTTTAAAATTGCCTTGACATGTAAAATTGTTATATTGCATTGAAAGTGTTATATATTATGGAATATATTCATAGAATCCTCTTTTTTAATACTTTTTATCCACAAAAAAAAAACAAATTGGATTTCCATTAAAATGGTATTTTAATTTTGACCTTTTTTAATGAAAACTTTCATTTTTATTGACTCATAAAAATTGAAAAAGAAACAACCCTCAAAAATCTTTCTTTATACCAAAACTGACAATGGATAAATAAAACAATGAAAAAATAAATTGATTGATCAAAATAACCAGAATGATCAAAATATATTCTCATAATTCCTTTCTATACTACAAACTACACAACTAAATTCATTGAATAAAATTAATATTTTTGGTAAATTTGAGAGTTTTGTGACTTTGGAGTTACTGTTAAATATTAAATAGTTTTTAAATGAATTGTTAATTTGTCATAAATTATTAGTTCATTGAAAAAATAGTATTAACACTTCTTTAAAGAAAATTTGTTTATGTAAATTAGATAATCAATTCATATCAATTCAAAATTTATTTATTGTGACTTTCATATTTTATAAATGAAAGATTGAATTTATTAAAAAGTCATTAATTAGAAAATATAATTTCTTGATAATATAGTAATTCTCATTATTTTCAAATTGTCAATACCCCTTCATAGAAAAAAAATAACTTTAGTAGTATTCATAATAAATCGTTTAGTCTTAAATAAGACTGTTTATTAAAAAACAATAATAATAGAAAGATATTTACTTCTTATCTTCAACAATAAAAAATTCTTTTTAAAAAAAAACTAAAAAGGATGTTTAGTTAAAAGAAATTCTAATTTAAAGGAGAGTTTATTGGACTTATTGAATCTGCAGGTGGTGGCGATATCATCTTAATTATTTGTTCATCACTTTTAGTTTCACAGCAAGACTTGCATGGTTTCACTACATGGGTTGGATGTTCTGAGATATAGACTATTTGATTATCTCCAACGTCAGTGTTAATCCAACAATTAGCACCAATACGCACATAACTTCCAACAACAATATTACCTAATAATTTTGCTCCTGTTCCTATAGTAACATAATCACCAACTGTTGGATGTCTTTTAGTTCCTCGCTTTAAAATACCACCTTCTTCTTGGAAATGCATTGCACCTAAAGTGACTGATTGATAAATTCTACACCATTCACCAATAATAGCTGTTTCTCCTATAACAACACCAACACCATGATCTATAAAGAAATGTCCTTTGATAGATGCTCCTGGATGAATGTCTATTGCCGTGTATGAATGGACACTTTCCATCAATTCTCTGCAATACCAACGTTCACCACATTCATATAAAATATGTGCCACTCGATAAATTATTGTTGCTTGAAATCCTGGGTAACATCTTACAATTAGTGCAAGTCCTGGTGCAGCTGGATCTCCAGCATATGCAGCAATTAAATCAGTTTTTAAAGTTTCTCTTACAACAGGAAGTTTTTCTAACATTTTCATTACACATTGATGTGCAAATACATCATCATTATATCCTGCAATTGAAGATAAGATGTGGTCAACAAATTGTGTCAGTTCTAATGAGATATGAGCTTGTGAAATATGTCTATGATTCATGAAAAAATCAGGAAAGAAGATTTTTTGTAGTTGTTGTAACTCAAAAAAAACTTCTTTTGGTGGATAGTCTCTTGAACTATGAAAAGCAATTATGTCATTAGTATATGACTCGTATAATTCTTTTGAAATTTTTGAAACAAGTAAATCCATGATTCAACTAATTCTTCAAATTTTTCAATTTAAAGTTCTTTTTTCAATTTCAATCCTTCTTATCATATTTCTTTTGTGGTTATTAATTCTTTATTAATATTTTAAGAAGTATTGATTTGAACTAAAAAGGATTATTCCAAGAAATAAGGCAAGATAAATTCTATATTTTATAATATTTTAATTCATTATTTTAACTATTTATTTAAGTTTATTTTAAGCTTAATTTATTGAAAAAACAATGTTTATGAATATCAAAAAAAAAAAATAGTTAATTCAATATTAATAAATTTATCTTCTATTGCTAATAGCTCTGGTAAGAATAGTCCCATTAACATTATGATTTAATTTTTGAAATGTTTGGTTGTGATAGAAACATTTTCCGTAACATTCATCTTGTTCTTTATTATAACTTTTTAACTTCTTTATGTTATCTATTCAATTTTATTTTATTTTTTTGATCAATTTAATACTTTCCGAAATTACTATTTTCTTATTTGAAATTATTACTGTAATTCTTTTCTTTATTATAACTCTTATTTCTTTATTCAAGTATCATCCATTATATTGAATTGTTTATTTCATTTTTCATTTATTATTCTATTTCTTTGTTTTCTTTCTTATGTATTTATTTATAATTCTTCTTTTGGTCTTCTTTTATTCATTTCATCTTTTGTTTATTGTCTTCTTTTATTTTCCTTTATTTATTCATTTAACTTTCTATATTTTTATTTTATTTTGTATTAAAAACAACATATTCCATATCATCATTTCTTTACATGTTTATATATTATTTCTTCATATTCTTTTTTTTCGACTCACGAATTATTCTCTTATTTTAACCACATTCCTTTTTAACATTTTCTATTTTTTTCATGATGTTATTTTTATTATCATTCTATTTAACTGGCATTTTCTCTTCTTTTTCTTCATCCTTCTTTTTATTAACTTTTTTCGTTATTCTTCTTTATAATATTTTTTACATATTCATCATTTTTTTGGATATCTTAGATAATTTTTCTCAAGTAATTTCTTTATATTTTTAGTTAAATTACTTAAATAAAATAGTAAATATAATTTGTTATATCTCTTGGTTGGAAAAAAAAACAGTAATAAAAGTATTTTCCAAAAATACATATTCTAAATAAAGTTTGTTTAATCAAGAAACATAAAAAAGGTAAATAAATAATAAATTTATTATACTAAATTACTTTGTTCTTTAACAAAGATTCAGTACAAACTTTACAAAAACTTATTTTTTCTTGATTGGTGGTAAGTTTTATAAAAATATATAATGAAAATGGATTAACTATAAATATCTAGAATACATTTTTAATTATATTAAATTTAAAAAGGATTTTTATTCAAAAGGAAGTTTTAAAATTATTCTAAACATATAAATCAATCTTCATATTGTTCTGTTATATTTACTAATGCCGTATTTAATCTAAGAAAAACTAAAAATTAATTAAATGAGTAAATTATTTGTTGAGTCATTAGATGAAGTCTCTTCAAAGAGCTTTGTTAATAACCTTAACAAAGCTAAGGATAGTAATTCTACAACAAGTAGCGTCGAGTTTGAGAAAGAATTTAAGGACGGTTCAATGTCTTCCCAAATTAAAGAAGAAGAAAGAAAACCAAAGAAGAGAGATGATAATAATGAATATGAATATTATTATCTACTCCCTGATGGGAGTTTAGGAAAAGATACTGGGTTTGGTGTCTTCAAAGTCGAAGACAAACAAATTATTAAGGCAGAAATGCCGGTAAAGATTAAATCAAACTCCAGTCAAGGAGTTATAAAAGATACTGGTTTTGATTGGTATGTTAAAATAAAAGACTATTTAACCAATACCAATGAATAAGCAATAAATTGGTTCCAAATATTTGAAATAATTTTGATTTTTTTTTATAAATTATCAATAAGAAAAAACTTTATTTAAATTAAACTATTTGATTTAAGACAGCCACAGAGATTCTATTCATGAAAATTGTTGAAAACATAACTCATTGTATGGGTATAATAAAACTGCCACAGCACCTAAGCACGGTTGTATTACTCCTTGAATACACACTTTATCACATGGTGCAGAATATAAAGTATATGCACCACCTTCACAAGTACAATGATCTTGAACATAACCATCTTGCATTCCTCCTAACCTATAACGAACACGAATACAACGAGCTTCAGGAGATTCATGAGCACGGATAATAAACTTTAAATGGTTTTGTTGAAGAAATAAATTTGATTGTTTTGACCCCCAAACAATCCCCACTCCTCTAAAATCATTTTTCTTAAAACCATCAGCAAGTTCAGGGTCTGACCATAATAGTTGGTTAAATAATGATATAGGATTATTTGAGTCTTCATCAATGAAACGATCAATACTATTAATTTCTTCAAT